GCAGCCAACGATGGTGGCAAAGCCAACCTATATGCGACTGGGCCGATACGTTCCAAAATCTCAAAAGGCTCAATGAACCTTGGACTGAGCTTTCCCTTCTTTCCAAAACGTAAAAGTCCCTTCACGGGTGCAACACGAAGAAAAACTTGCTCACCAACCACGAACTCGAGTTCCTTACGCCTGATGTCTGCATAACTCTTCTGACGGCTCTGAGCAATTTGCATCCTTCCCCTCATCTTTTGAATGGCACTGTTAGTCACCTGCACCAAATCCGGTCCCAAGATAACTCTTTCTCTGACTTCCTCCCAAATAACCGGAGACCGACACTTCTTCCCATAAAGTGCCTCGTATAGAGCCATTCCAATCGTGGCCTGAAAACTGTTATTATAAGCAAACTCTATTAGGTAGAGATACTTGTCCCAACTACCACCAAAGTCTAACATGCAAGCTCTGAGCATGTCCTCTAAGACCTGGTTCAAACGCTCTGTTTGACCATTAGTCTGTGGATGAAACGCTGTGCTAAAATCCAACTTAGTGCCAAGGGACTTGTGTAAACTTCGCCAAAAAGTCGAGGTGAAACGCGGGTCGCGATCGGACACTATGGATACAGGTATACCATGGAGCCTGACAATTTCCTGTAAATATAGTGCCGCCCACTTTTCTACTGTATACGTGGCCTTGCAGGGAATAAAGTGAGCAGACTTGGTCAAACGATCTACAACTACCCATATCACATTAAATACCTTAACCGTCCTTGGAGTCCTGTAATGAAGTCCATCGCCACATCGTCCCACTTCCAAACTGGTATGCTCAAAGGTTGCAGCAATCCAGCGGGTCTCTGTCTTGAAGCCTTCACCTGCTGGCATGTCAAACACTTGCTAACAAACTGAGCTATTTCCCTCTTCATGTTATGCCACCAATAATGTTTCTTGACGTCTTGATACATTTTGGTGCTTCTTGGGTGAACCGATTACAGAGCATTGTGTGCCTCTCCGAGTAAGTCCTTCCTCAAAGAATAGTCTTTTGGCACACACAACCTTCCGCGAAAAAGCAAGGCTGCCTCACTCGAAATAGTGAAATCTCCATGGCCCACCATACTAAAGCCTTTGGCCAAGCTAGGATCTTCCTTTTGGGCAACAATGATCCTCTGTCTCAGGCTAGGTTCCACTGAGAGTCGAGCCAACAACGCTGAGACATCATCCACTGTCAGCTTCACCTCCAAGCGTTCCAACTCGCTGTGCATTGGACTGCAGGCCGCTACTAAAGATGCCACACTTGCAGCCTTTCTACTAAGAGCATCGGCCACAACGTGCGCTTTACCCGGATGGTAACTAATCTCACAATCATAGTCCTTCACCAACTCTAGCCACCGTCTCTGTCTTAAGTTAAGCTCCTTCTGAGTGAAAAGGTACTTCAAACTCTGATGATCAGTGAAGACCTGAA